ATGATGAATAATAAATAGTTTATTTGGGTAAATTGTTGCACAACATATCGTTTATTTACAGAAGAAGCATTGAAGGCAATATACAAGGTGAACTGATGTTTACGCAGGATGTTTTAAGGTTAAAGCAGGCGTTAATGTTCAAATATGCCGGTCAAACAATACTGTTGATTGTCATTCAGTATTTTGTTATTTATCCAAAACTTTATTGATAAAACTACGTACAAAAGGTAAACGGGACTATTCCCACCTCGCGTTCCCGCCGCTGCAACTCCTGTGTAGCCAGAGTTTGACGTGCCAATAAAAGCCCAACCAGTGAAGGCCAAGTTTGTACCGGGTAAAGTAGAAAAACTGTACCTAGTCCGCATCTCTTAAAGTCTTGATATGGGCTGGAGGATAGGACAAATTGAATTGACTACTTACTCTTTTTGTAATTACAATAAGTACAACAGACCAATAAGTACTAGCAAATATGAGTTTGTTTATAAACACAAGTTTGAATCGTGCGGTGATCGAATCCGCGACCTCTCAAACTCCAACTACTACTCCGACACTGGATAACCTCTTTTCGCAGCGACGCCGAAGCAAAAAACCGTCTTTAAACTGTTTTTATTTGAACCCAATTCATTGCACTCGAGTGTACGTAACTGTAGAGTCGTTGACACTTCTATTGTGTTGCCATAAAAACGCTCGCGTGACTTATTGTGTAAATAATCAATCATTTACCCGTTCGCACTAAGTTTTCCGGTCCGTGGAATGCGCGTCCCCTCCCCCAACCGCGATTAAATGCAATTAGTTAGTGATTAAACGCAATTAATGTGTCTTATTTTACGCAAATACACAATTTTTATCAATAATAATAAATAAGAAATATTTTAAATATAGTTTGGTAAGTTAAAGACGCTTCCCTTCGAGTGACGTCATATTGCCAGCGGCAAACTTAATAAAGCGAACGGATTGTACAAGACAGTAACGTCTTGTGGAGTTGTGTTAGATGTTATTTAGCAGCAAAAATTAATTAAAAGCTGTCAACTTTAACTTAATAGTCAGTTCACTTCACACTATACTTTTTAAGACGTTTATTGCTCTTATTGCACCCACAAGGTGGACCGACGACATCATAAAGGTAGCAGGAAGGCGCTGGACGCATGCCGCTACTAACCGGGCAACATGGAAAGCATTGGGGGAGGCCTATGTTCAGCTGTGGACGTCCTTTGGCTGAGATGATGATGATGATGATTGAAATTTCACTTATGGGGTAAAAACGCTCCTATAGATGTTGTAAGAGGCGACTAAAGGACAAATGCGAACATCAGGCCTCCCCAACCCGTCTGGCCAGCGTGGGGAGTGTAGGACAAATCCTCCATTTGCCTCTGGTCAATTAGAGGGCCCGTGCTCCTGCAGTGGAGACTAGGTATGACTTGTTGATGATGATGAGGTAAAAATCTTAACGGCCGCTTGGCGTGGTGGTTAATTTGGACTACAAACGTTAACAGCGGTTGCGGTTTCAAATCCCCCCGAGGGCTTATTAATGCTGGCTTCATATGGTGCGGTGCATCTATCTATAATATCTATAAAAGCGAAAGGTCACTGACTGACTCACTCATCACGAAATCTCAGAAACTACAAGTGCTAGGAGTTTAAAAATTTTCATGGGGGTTCCTTTTAGAACGTAGGTGCTCACTAAGACGGGATTTTGCAAAATTCAACCCCTAAAGGAGTAAAACGGGGTCCACGCGTACGAAGTCGCGGGCAGCCGCTAGTCTAAAATATAAACAAGACCTTGACATTTTTTTCTTGACACAGTCTAAATAACACTTTCTACAGCTATTTAGTTAATTGAATTATTTATATGTACCTAGATAATACATATTTTCCAAATGTTATCTACTTAATTGGATCTCACCTGTCACGCGTGCGCGCGCGAAAGTGAGGCGTCACGCAACACGTGGTCAAGTAAAAGTTCATTGCCGTGAAGTAATACACGAATTTCACTAACGTGATAACATAGAGTTAATATCCGCGATGTAACAGTGTGTGACATTGTCATAACTTCATAAGTAGTTTTGAGTCGGACTAAATGTGGACAGAAAGTGGTAAAGTTTGTGTTTGTAGGTATATTTGTTAAATTGTAAGGGGTAATCTCGGGATCTACTGAACCGATTTTAAAAATTCTTTCACCAATAGAAAGCCACATTATTGTTGTGTCATAGGTTACAAAAAAAAAACGAAAAATTCAACGCGATCGAAGCCGCGGGCGGAAAGATAGTTTTATAATAAGCTGACTGTAAGGCCCGATTCTACCAAACTTTTATCCGAGAATAACTGGTGGTATAACTGGCAAATTGACAGTTTCAGTATGGGAAATATGTCAAAACTGACGATTTATTCTGAGATTAATATTTACTCTTGTTTGGTCAAATCCACCCAAGTTTCTACCGCCACTTCTTTTAGGTACCTACCACGTGTATAGGTAATCGCACTGGAAAGTGCCTAGTTAGGCTAGGTACCGTCCCCCAGCAACGCCCTAGGCCGAGGTCCGAGCCCCACTCGGGGGCGCCCTTAGGCTCGTTGCTTAAATTTGGAGGTTGAGAGCCATCTGCGCTCACCCACTTATTGTCCGGTGAAGCTGAAAAAGCCTCTCACGGCTATTAGCATTGCCAGTCTGAAAAAAAAGCTGGAAAGTGCCTAAGTACTGAATAAAAGCTTTGACTTTGACTTTGAGATTATGATGTTGCAAATTTAGTGCCAAAAACTCATGCTAAGAAACAGACCTAACCTACTGTTTCTAAGCATCGATAAATTTTACCGAGTAATAACTAATAAGTGGTTAAATATTTACTTACCTACTTACGTAAACTTGTGTGAGTTTCATTAACAATAAAACGTTACATATGTTACGCTAAATTCATTAACTCAATGCCTAATGTAGGGAAATTGACTCACCAGTTAATTGTGGGTACATCTATACTTATAATAAATCTGTAGAGAGGTCAATTCTGTACATGAAATATATTTTCAAAATAACTATCAGGGGGTGATTAGTGATCGATACTGATGCCAAAAATGCAATCAGTAAAATTTTTGTCTGTCTGTCTATCTGTCTGTCTGTCTTTCTGTCTGTCTGTCTGTATGTTCCTTATAGAAACAAAAACTGCTTGACGGATTTTAACGAAACTTGGTACAATTATTCTTCGTACTCCTGGGCAGGTTATAGGATACTTAGGAATTCCCACGGGCACGGGAATTAGCGGGAAAATCCTTTTGTATGAAAAATCTAAACCGCTTAAGTTAGACGCTTGAAATTTGGCATGCAGGTACCTTAGTAAACTTAAAGCTTAGTTACAACAGGATATTGCAAAATTCCCACGGGAACGGGAGTTAGCGGGAAAAAACATTTGTATGAAAAAATCTAAACCGCGTAAGATAGATGAAGGGGGTAAAACGGGATCCACGCGTACGAAGTCGCGGGCGGCCGCTAGTAATGTAATAAAACACTTTCTTAGCGTTTTACTAGGTACCTAATGAATTGGTTTAAGAGCAGACAAACTTTTCAGAACGATTTCATGAACAAGTGTATAGTACTTAATTATTTTATTAACACACTGCTTAAGTTTAACATTTGGTAAGAAACTAGTCAGTATTATTATGCGCTTAACCGTTCGTCGTCCCAATTGTACCAGGACCGGTTAGTCCAGTCAGACCGAACGGTCATAGGTCTGCCTAAATAACTGTCATTTTGTGCTAACGCTTATTAGTCTAAAAATCTGGTTTGCTCTACCATAAAGTTAATATGTATTTAATTTTATGTGCTCTACTTACATTCAGATAGAAAAATAAACATTAAAAAAAATATTACAATAGGTAGGTACTTTACAAGTGCCTAGAGTTTTTTTCGGGTAGCGAAAGAAAAACCTTAATCTTTCATGTTATGAAGTAGAATATAACAACGTCTATGTCATGCCATAAAAATAAAATTTAAAATAATCTAAAAGAAAGACTCTTTTATCGAAGAAGAAAGTGTCAGTATGAACTGTGAAACCAAACAGCCGAAAGATAAATTAATGCCAGTAATAATAAAGAAGGCTATCTATAGTAGAGCTCAATATCTTACTATCTATTTTAAAAAATCTCTCTCAGTCAGTCTTTAGTTAAATGTGCATGGTTATGTTACACAACAAAATGGCAACCGGACGTGGTTGCATCACACGTCTGGGGGCACGGCAGTGCCCCCGCCAAGTCGAGTCTAAATTACGGAAACCATCAGAAAAGAAACCACAAGCTGTTACAATTTTATGGATAGACGCGAAGAATGTTGCCGAGTCACCACTTACGATGGTGTGATGATTGTGGTTTTACATGCAAACATGAAAATAAAACGATTTAATTGTATGCGTCAATAAAATGTAGCAATTTTGCCGAAAAATGTCAAAATGGTGGAAATCAAAACTCGTGAAAGGCACAAATGTGCCTACGTACGTAATAGAGTCGCCTAGCATTTGTAACGATTAGGATTTGATTCAATTTCACGATTGCTTATAATCTTCTTTTACTTATTCTTACTTATATCCGTTTGACTCTAGAAAACGCTCTACTTCTGTTTTAATACCAAACTAGACGAGTTGCTCACTGGAAAACCTAGCACTGAACATACACCCTTTGGACACGATTTATAATAGTCTTTAATTTATAATAGTCTTTAAGCACTAGGTTCAATTTCTGAGTTGAGATTTTTAGCTTGAGCGTGCTTCAGCTTGAGCACGCCCAAGCAGGAAATCTTTATTCAGAAACGGGGCCCAAAGTACCTACCTAACTATTTAAGGTTTTGAGACTTAGCTTTGAACAAGTACCAAGCCTTCAGCCAGTAATTCTAATTTGTCATCACATCTTCCAAGGAAATCTAAATGCGGATATTTGAAAGACCAGTCAAAAAAGCGCTTTTTAAAAGCCTCTTTTCAGAAAATCCCTAAGGCTTTTATGAATTTTCAAACTATGTCGTCCAGGAAGAACCTTCGGCCGTCCCTTCAAGAAGATGATGGCTGGCCTGCTGCCGATCATCTTCCAGATCGGAGCCGCCTCCACTTGGGCGGTCATTGCCACGCTGGTGGGTGTCAAGACGCTCTTCGTTACCCTGGTGATACTCAAGCTGCTGCTCGTAGCTGGTGCTGCTAAGGTAATGACAACTTTGAATCCCGTCTAGGCTATTAAATCTATACTAATATTATAAATGCGAAAGTAACTCTGTCTGTCTGTCTGTCTCGCTTTCACGCCTAAACCACTGAACCGATTTTGATGAAATTTGGCATAGATATAGTTTGAGTCCCGGGAAAGGACATAGGATAGTTTTTATCCCGGTTTTAGAAAGAGAGACGCGCGCGATAAAGTTTTTCTGTGATAGACAAAATTCCATGGGAGCGAAGCCGCAGGCGGAAAGATAGTAAATAATAAGTAGGTAAGTACCTACTAAGTAGTTACTACTTCACTGTGGTACTACCTACCTACTACATACTTAGGTTTTTTATCCATAACGAGCAAGCTCTTGCCCCGTATCTCGCTTGATGAAAAGTAATGATCAGGTTGAAGGTGGAAGCGACGAGCTTCACCTGGAATCCTTAACCAAAGAGACATTCTCTTACGTCCAACTGCTGGAAAACAACTGTAAAACTGCCGTCAAACTTTTTTAAAAAATCGATCAAAACAATGACGGTCTACCACTCGATAGACAGACGATGTAAGGTTGCGTGAAGCATCTGGATGCAGACAGCACGGGACCAGTTGTGGAAATCTTTGGGAGAAATCTTTGTCTAGCAGTGGACGTAAGCATAAAGCTCATCTGAAATGATAAGATGTGCGCCGCGATAGGCCAGTTTATCGATTTTACCCATACATTTTGACGTCGATAAATTATATCTCGGCGCGCATCTTAGCCCTTCTGAATTTCTTTTAACCCTTCTTTTTGGGTTAGACACAGAGCCGATATCAAATCAGAAATTATCGTCACAACTGCATCTTACGTAGGCGTTACACTCTTGCCAGTCGTCGCTTGCTCAAACAGAGCGAGCCACAGTCTGGGGAGGAGCCGCGAAAGAATGTCTAGCTAGGCCGTCTAGCTCGGACAATAACTCGCAGCTCCGTCCCAAAGACTTCGGGAGGACACCGTCAGGTTTTAGTGAGTAGGCCCTGCCCATCTGGCAGGGAGGGGCCAGTGGGTATGCAATTTCATGCATTTCCTGAAGAAAAAAAAGTCGTTACACTCTTATCTTAAGTAACACAAGCTGTGTAACACTGTTCACGTCATTTAGGTACTAATCTATGTTACGAGAACTGCTAACTGACGATAACACAGATTAGCACTTAATGTTACGTTACATAGAGAAAGTAAACTTTCTAAGGTCCAATGAGGAAAAAGGATGTAGTATTATCGCCATAGGCTAGAGAAGGACAAAAAATAAGGTGCGGTTTTGATGACCACATCGAAGAAAGTTATAATATCTAGGTATTGGAGAACATTTTTAGAAAAATAACTTGCATTACTAAGTACAGATGAAGAAATTAAGGGTTGAAAATAATTGTATTTTAGATTTTTGGAAATATCTACCATAGCTTTAAGACCGTCTAAATTGTGCCGTCTCTTTGGTATAGGTCTTTCTTTCTATCTTGTTTTTAGTGGTGTACAATAATTAACTTTTATCTATCTAATTTGACTTTTTCATTCCAGGCTGGAGCTCTATTCGCCAGCAAAGGTCATCACCAAGGACAAGGGTGGCAGCCACATCAGAAAGAAATACATCTGCACATCCACAACGGCCAGTATGGGCCGCACCCTACGGGTCATGAGGAACATGCTCGTAAGATTCATAAATATTATTTAATTTCATTTTCCAAGAGAAAAATAAATAATTTTTCTTAAAGGCCATCTAGCGGTTGGTAGCGGCAGTAAAATTTGTGAGAAAGCATGCTTTTTAACAACGTAGTTCTAATTATTAAATACAGATGTCACTAAACTCCAAACTGCGTTATTATTCCGCCATCTATCGGCTAGTTGCAGTACTAACTCATACCATTGACTACTTAGTTTATTTTTTTGGTAATAGATGTCGTTACTTGCTAATGTGCTGCCATCTATCGGTTATGAGTGACACTAATCAGTTTTGGATTGTCGTCACCAGATGTCACTGCTCAACTTGTGAAGGTGTCGCTCTTGAAAATTTTTTCAATTTACTTTTCTTTGTTACAGAAACGTGGAGCAGAAATGAAATTGTTGATCCAAACGGCGCCAAGAACCCCTACAACATTGTTCTAGAACCGTACGGTCCTCAAACACTCAGCACGCCTTACGGAAAGTACGTTAAGGTTGAATAAAAACTTAAATTTTAAGATTATTTAGATTTTACATAACTTTAAACACGTAGAGGAAAATTTTTCATATTTCCTTATAAGGTTTTATTTCTAAAGACTTAACTTATTGACTATTTGGGATTGTAATTCAATACTTAATCATAAAATTACACGGACAGAACTACTCAAGACTCTAACAATCCTATTTCTACGCGAAACACCAGGCAGCAGATGGAAAAAGCTCATTATGGAGTTGACTGAAGAAGAGGTCACAATCCTCAACTTGATGTCATGGACCGACTAGCGACTATGGGACCACAGATTATATCGGTGCTACTTTGCGTTCTTGCCATAAGTATTTCCAATTGCGCCTGTTGAACGTGCGAGACAAAATTGGTTTATTCCAATTTGTACTGCAAAATCAAATTTACTAAAAATTTTGTGTGCTTTTTATATGGGAGTCTCTTATTTATCTAAAATAAGAATTATTTTTCGCTACTTTTATCTCTGTGAATATGACAAGGATGCAAAGTAACACCGTGTAATAAGGGACTATGGACTGTGACTTAAATAGGTACTCGTATCTACAAGAATTAATGCTTGTTAAAGATTGTTTTAGTTGAATCTGCAACGAATTTCACTTTAGTATTGACTATTCATTTCTTCCTTAATTCACTTCAGTTCTTACTTATATCTGACAGATATTCTTATTGTAGTTATTGTTTTATTTTCCGTCCAGTGTAAATCTTCTAATAAATATCATGAACTTACCTATTTAAGGCTGTATTTAGAATTATCTTATTTAAGTATTTAATTACGTATTTCCTACATTTCAGTCGGATAATGAAAATGTTAACCTCTCTTATCGTAATCATTTAATGGGAAGTTAACTTATTTAAAGATTAAGATGTCATATAAATGATACTGTTTTATTTATTGTGTACATATTGTTATAATGGTTAGCTTTCTCGTTAATCGACTACTTGAAAGGCTTTTTATATTTTAACCTACTTAGTAATTATATTAATATTAATTTATTTAATTAAGCAATTAAAAGTTCACCAATAGCACCATCGTCACTGTAGTGTTAAGATTTTTAGTATATTTTGAATGCAGTGTTGGCAATGTTAATATTTATTTGTGGAATGCAAGCTTGGCTGTAATAAATAAAGTATTACTAGCGACTACATACTTTCCTACAATACGTGTATTTATTTTTTATTATAAGCCCTCTTACCAAAGCTAACTACAAAGAAAAAAATGTTTAGGTTCCACAAAAAAAAATTGGATTGATTAATTCCCGTTTTCACCATCTTTCCCTAATTTAAGTGTCCCCTATGTACCTAAACAAAATTCCTGTTATTTTTTACCATAGGGGTCACTTAAAAATTAAGGATTGAAGGTGAAAACGAGCATCAGTCTCGCATCACTCGAGGCACTAAAATTACTACTTAGAGCTGTTTATGTAGTTGTAGGTACCTATTGAATCCGCTACAGTTTGCTTACGGTCTGCTTAGTGTGGAGGTAGGAAAGAAAGAAAGAAAGAAAAAATGTTTTACCAAGTAATACGAATAAATAATACAAAAATTAGAATCTTTACACTCTATTGAAAATGAAAAATCTTTATTCAATTCAGACAAATATTTGGTACTTACATAGGGAATAGATAATGCTAGTCAGTCAATTATTTGCTTTCAAGATTCTAACACCCGTACTTATTCACAAACGATGCTTGTAAGTGAAGCAGCAAATCGAACGCACAGCGTTGAATAGAGCTCTGTGATTGGTTCGTGTGTCACCCTGTGCGTCCACGCGCACTGTGAGAGCTCATAGTAATGTTTGTGAATACGGGCGATAGTCTATCTACATAAGTCCACATAATTATCTTAATGACCCGACACAATTTGAACCCGTGTCCGTTAAAATTGTTCTACAAAAGGAAACAAGTAGTTCTAGGTAAAATCTGCAATCGCCAGCTGTTTTCCCAGAGTCGAGAGGAAAATACTTGGATAATTCATTGTCGGTTCGTGACTGGTTCTATCTATTAAGCGTCGGCCACACGTGAGGTCTAAAGGTTAGGTTGCTAGGCCAACAGCCTTACGCCCGTCAAACATTACTATGAGGTCTCACAGTGCGCGTGGACGCACAGGGTGTTACACGAACCAATCACAGAGCTCTATTCAACGCTCTGCGTTCGATATTCTGCTTCACTTAAGCAAGCATCGTTCGTGAATACGGGTGTTAAACTTTTATCGAGGCTTTAGCTTCTGCCCGCGACTTTGCCCGCTTGGAATAGTTACTTTGGGCTAGTGATGATAAATGTAATATCCTTATAGCCTTCCTCGATAATTGGGCTTACTAACACTGAAATAATTTTTCAAATCGGACCGGTAGTTCCTGAGATTACGGAGTTCAAGCAAACAACTCTTTAGCTTTATAATATTACTACTACTTTGCCTGGCCCTTGTGAGGCCTGTGTTCAGCAGTGGACGTCCTGTGGCTAAAATTATGATGATGATGATGATGAGACGTGCTGCTTTGCAGGCTCCTTGTAGTCTGTGAAAGTAACTGTCAATTTTGAAAATAGAGCTTGAGCTGCCTCAGTATACCTTGAACATTAATTTGCAATCAAAGAAAGGTTTCATAAACTTTATTTGTTGAGATGAATTCACAGTTTCTATAGTCTCTATTTTGTCTTCTTAATAATGACTATTAAGAAAATAAAAGTTAAATAAAACTAGCAACACTAAACTTTATTACCGAAAATACAGTACACGTTAGAAGAAAAACTTGTAAGTTGATCACGAGAATCTCCTCCTTCCGAATCAGATAGGGTTTTAGGTACCAAGTACTAGTACATACTTACATTATGTTATGTATCTACCTACAAGTAAGTAAGTACCTATACCTCTAGCACGAAAAACTTTTTCCTTATAATAGTTAGCATATTCGAATCGCCATCGAAAGATTATGAAAACCAGCGACCGTAGGGGCGCTGTTTAAGTTTTCGTACTAAAGACGTTAGTTTCGTGCTAGAGGTACTTGTCGAGCCAGTGTGCACCAGTCCTAACCCAGGTAAACATTACAAGCTAACTTAAGTCTGTGATGTCATCGGGCGCCTCGACCTTGACTCTACTCACTTTACTTATAAATTCAAAAGATTAGCTCGTTTTAAACAGAGGGCTGAGGCCTCAGACGTTTATTTTAAGTTAAATACCAGTTTTAAATTCAGTGGACTTACATTTAGATTGTAGAATAATTTATTGCCAGTATTGGAACTATTTTGTAACGCTCTTGATTTCTGTTTCGGAAAAGACCACAAGGTAAAGACTAGCCAGTTTCACCGCCTTCTGGTAAAGTTTCAGATAGCTACTTACCTACCTGATAAATATAAAAAGAAAGGTCTAAGAAAATGGTAAATCACGGTGTCAATGTTATTCGCCTTTAGTTGTTAACGGGACTATTCCCACCTCTCGTTCCCACCGCTGCAACTCCTGTGTAGCCAGGATCTACAGCTCGACCGCCGACAACCCAACCAGTGAAGGTCAAGTTTGTCCCGGGGGAAAGTTAAACTGTCTTGGACCTGCAACGAAATTAATCAGAAGAACATAGGAGGAGTTCGAAGTTAACCGCCTTTCCAGTGCAAAGCCTTTAGTTGTTATGAATATTGCCAGTTTCTTGTGAAGCGGACATGTTGCATCCTACTCAGACGTTAGATCATACAACCTTCTAACAGAGCCTCTTGGCAATGGCTTAAATGATTGCATTAATACTGGTTTTTGTAGACTTATTTAGTGAATCAATTCCTAATTGATATTCGGTAACATCCGTCTTTAAGGTCATAATCTTGAATATTTGAATGATTTTCTTGTTTAGATATTAAGTTTTAACAGAAACTTTGTTAAAACCCACGTTTTGAGATAAATAAGGGATTTTTTCTCAAACTTATAGGTAAGGTAAAGTTTGAGATTGAATTCCAGTAATTTTAGACTTATTTTTTATGCAACAAAAGGATTATTACATTGAACAATATAAGATATGTAGGATCTAAGCTTCAATAGCTACGTATACTTGTACATAATAGTATTAACCATAGTTACATAATATGTAGTTGGTAGGTATAATTATGAAAAAATACCAAGCATGCAAGTTACTATGGTATGTATGTATTACTGTAATAATCATTTCAATCATATGACTAAGAAATTCCTTGGATTCAAGGCGTGATTGTCGTATTGAGAACAGATTGCTAAACTAATAATTACTTGTAATTTCAAATATCCACACAAATCAATTATAATGTAGGTAAATGAAAAGTACCTCCAGATTAAAATTTCTCAATTGAAAAAACCAAATTCAAGAAATAAACGGCAATGCGTGAACAGTTTTTGAAGTTTTTAATTTAGGTGAATAACTTCGTACGCGTGGATCCCGTTTTACCCCCTTTAGGGGTAGAGTTTCAAAAAATCCTTTCTTAGCGAATGCCTACGTCATAACATCTACCTGCATGGCAAATTTCAGCCCGATCCGTCGAGTGGTTTAGGCTGTGCGTTGATAGATCACTATGTCAGTCTGTCAGTCACCTTTGAGTTTAAAGTAAGTTTAGATTACCTTAGATCAAACATACTCGCAAACTCACAGGCTCTATAACACAGCTAGGTATAGAGCCTCCTTCAAACCGGACGCCCTTGGCGCGTATATGTCATGCCGGCCGGTCTAACGTGCCAAGCCGTTTGGTATTTAAAATTCAAATAAAGCAGACTTCAGGGTCCCATTTGAGTTGAATTCTAAATTATTTCACAAGATCTGTTCGGAGATAATGTGCGAGGATTCTGCGTGGCAACAGCAGCGACTTAATACCTGTTATTCAGAGTTTTAATTAAACTAGTGACCTGTCCCGGCTTCGCACGAGAGTAATATATTATGTAGAACGTGTGGTGGTGTCATATTTCAAATTATTTACACAACCATAACGAATTACATATACATTTAAACCTTCCTCTTGAACCTCTCTACCTATTGCTACATTTTGAAAACCGCAATAAAATCTGTAGCTTACTTGAAGATCTAAGCGTTATAACTGAGCCTAATTTTGATTTAGAGCACCTTATCTATACTAAAATTCTTTCACCAATAGAAAGCCACATTATTGCTGAGTGTCATAGGTTATATAAAAAACCGAAAAATTCCACGCGGGCGAAGCCGTGGGTGGAAAGCTAGTATTTTTTTAAAACAAAGACTTATATTTTACCGCCTCTGTGGTCTAGTGTTAAGACTACCTGCTTCAGACGCAGAGGTCCCGGGTTCGATTCCCAGTGGGGGCAGATTTTTCTGTTTGGTTTGGTTGGTGGTTCTAAGTCCGCCTGGCTAGCTACCATCATCTTACCTAAGTCTGTCACCATAACATCAGCTGATGCTGAAAAGAAGTGGCGCAAAACCGTGAGCATATTAGATTATACATTTCTGTACCAAAATAACTCTTAATACGACTGCATAAGATGTTACATTATTAAGATTCATGTGCTGTCATCTATACATTCTTAGTCATAGAAGTAGAACCCATGATATCACAGATTCCGGCGAAAATGAGTCACACAATCATTAGTCATCATTTTAATATATTCTAAAATCTGTGGTCAATCATTACGCCCACTTCAATTAATAATCACCTTAAATACTTATTAATATCATTATTTCATTTGCGAAAGATCAAAATAGTGCATTTTGATAGGAGATTATGAGTTTTGATATAACATAGAACAAGAAAATTCGTCTAGCGAGCGTGGAAAATGAAGGCCAAAGCCTCCATTTACCTCTAGTAAACTAGAGAGGTTGTGCTGCTACAAGGGAGGCTAAATGCACGTCATCTGAAAATGATGATGAAGGTGATTAGGTGAACATTAATGAACAATGATAGTTTAGTACAAACAATATTTGTAAGCTATATGAACGTTGACAGCTGTTTGTCTTTCCTAATAAAGAAAGAAAGAAATATCTTGTTTATTATGTAGATTAACAAATAATGATCAATACACATTTCACAAAATAAGTTTCTTCATCGATCTTCCATCTTCTTTCTTCAGGTTTTAGATGAACAAAGGGACAAAACGTAACCTCTATCAGGCTATGTCTGAAACTTCAGGCAACACAGACAAAGCCAAGGAGAGGCTAGGTCAAAA